ACATTTCAGTGGCAGTGTATACATACGTATTTAACTAGTGTCAAGAGTGGAGTTGGCAGCTATACGTTGTAGTGAAAGGCCACATCTCTTCAGGATTATATAAATGATTAACACAAAAATGTGGTCAGACTTTACAACAGAAAGTGATATAAAAAAAATGAACTAGCAAACCTAAACCTATGGCTCATTCTGTGTCACAGAGGTATGCAATCTTCAAAGGATGTTGACCGCAAGAGTCAGAACTAGGATTCTAGTCCAGCCTCTACCACAAACTAGGTGTATCATCTTGGGCAAACCACTTAATTGCTGTTTAACTCAGTTTCCCCATCTGTAATGGAGACAATGACAGTGACCTACTTCATAGGGGTGTTGGGAGGCTCAATAAACATTTTAAAACATTATCCTTAAAGGAAAGGTGCTACAGAAATGCAAACTACTACTGTTTAATTAGGAGGAGGAGGAAAGAGATGACAATCATGATGAAGTGAGACTACTGTCATAGTCATCAATGGGAACAACAAAAGCTCATTTGTGACAATGTCAGAGCTGCATTCCAAGACTCTGAAGATAATAGGACCTCCCCGAAACTTTACTAAAGAAGAGGATAAGGTCAGGTATCACTAAGACCTTTGGAATGCAGCTCTGCAGTGATGTCAGACTCACAGGTGATCTTTAATGGCTTCAGATTACCACTCTCTCTCTCTCATTTCCTCATGATTTCCCTTCCTTATAGCTGAAACACCAACAGATCTTTTAAAAGAATAGAATTTTACAACATGCAAAGTCATCGGATCAGCTGTAACCTAGGTTTTTAGTATGCTTCATGCTATTTTAAGACAGAATTACAGAAAGTGATTTCCCTTAAAGTCAGTATTGTTCAGTACAGTGGTAATCAAGTTTTTCCATATTAGGAACCATCTCAGGAAACCCTATACATCTATCTGAGACCCTCCCCTTCTGTTTATCACTATGTACAGGGTAGGCGGCTGTGATCTTCAGACACATTTGTTACCCCCAGGTTTAGAACCCCTGGTTTAGTGTGTGTGTGTGTCTGTAGAATGTTATAGAAGATCCATCATCATCTGTACAGTAGTTTCCTTTAAACTTTTGGGATAAGCTTTCTTAAACAGCAGGAAAAAAAAAAACCAAAAAACCCACTCCACAGCAGTTGTCCAGATCCACCTCACTAGTGTACCACTAATTCCCATGGACTTCAAAGGGTGTCCTTGAGTGTCCAAGGTTTGCAACATTGTGTCCTAATCTGCGGTTTACTGGATAGAGCACTGAACTGGGACCCATGACATTTGGGTTCTATTCCTGGCTCTGCGACTGACCTGCTGGGTGACCCTTGGCAAATCACTTCACCTCTATGCCTCATTTTCCCATCTGTAAAATGGGAATAATGATACTGACCTCCTTTGTAAAGTGCTTTGAGACCTACTCAAGTAAAGCACTATTTAAGAGCCAGGTATTGCTACTTCTGGCCACATGAAAGACCTGCAAGAGTTTGCAAGGTACATGGAAACACATGCTATCTTGACTCATTTCAACATCACTGGTACGATGAAACCAAAACTAACCAAGAAGAAACTGAGTGTGTGTGACTCAACATCCCCCCCAAAAATTGCAAGAATACTCAACTCACTATACTCAGTCTGATTGTGCCTAGGTAGAACAGTATAAACACAAGGAAATAAAAACAAGAAATTTTTGTTTGAGTCTATCACAGCAATGAGGAGCAAGAAGTGCTAGGGATGGAGAGTTTTCTCTCTCTATCTTAAAACCTCCTTGCACTGATAGAATTCATGTTCTTTAATTTCTGTGTGGTCAATTAGAAGTATATGAAGAATATTTGGGGATCCACATTTTAAATATACTCTACATATTTACCCAATTGTTTATTGTATAAATACATATTTGCAAAACTTTAAAAGATGTGTATTAGTGACCAGATAGATTATTACACACTTATAGGCTAAGTGCAAATATGGGGTCTTCCTTCAAAGCCAAAGATTTTACATTATTCTTTCTAGGTAAAAAGAGGAATAATCTGAGCCAGAAACTAATTCCAGTCTGACATCAACTCTATGGCCTAAAGTAAGTCACAGCTTCTGACTCAGTTTCCCCTTCTATAATGGGCATGCTTGACTCTCTCTTCACTGTATTGCAATAATTAAGGTATATAAAGTGCTTTGAAGATTTAAAGAGCTACAAGCACTAATTATTACCTGGCTTGAGAGGCAAACTGGATTTTTGACCTACTAACTGGATGTATACACAAATATTTGTCACACTATTATGTAGTGTGTACCAGAGTTCTAAAATACTAACTTGTAGGTTTTCTTAAAAAATAACTTTATGGAAAGTAGTTTTTAAAGTCAGTAGCCACACCATTTTTACTACCTCAGCTGTTTTATTGGACTGAATTAAAATATTTCATGTTCTGAATTAGCAACTTGCAAAATGTCATTGTGAAAAACAAATATCAAGTTAAAATACACCAGAAGAGCAGGGAAACTTTTTGCATTTTTGCATCTTAAAAAAAACCTCCAAAACTCATGTAAGCAAAATCTGGCTCTTAAGCTAAAATGTTTATGTCGAGCACAAGCCAACAGCTAAATTTTACATCTGAGTTATCACTCAGCCCCTTCAAAACTAGGGTCTCTGCTGGAAATGATGAATACCTTGGAGCCAGGCCTGGTACTATTATACAGTAGTCAGCTTGCATTTACACTCTCTGTTTGGACAGACATTTCCTGGCCTTCCCACAAATGAAGATACTCAATTTCTCCCTGTCAGAGGATCCCTTCCCTTTTTTCCTGCTGCCAGAAAAATCAGATGCTAGGTCTCTTTACTGGAGCTCCTATAACAAATGGGTGAATATAATAACGAGCCCCCTCCCTTCCTTTTTTTTTTTTTTCTCCAGTTCTACCTAGGGAAAACTGGTTTCCTGCACAATAAGCAAAAACCCTCAAAAAATGTCTAGTGCTTTTCAGCCTACATCTTCTGTCTCAGAGGGATTTCCATTTTCTGTGCACAAAAATTACAGGAAATCACAGTGACAGAAGATTAACCTGGTAACTTGATCCTGCAAGATACTGAATGTCTTGCAGGATTGGGATCTTAATTGTCACATAGAAGGCAATCTCTTTTTAAAAAACGAGGTAGCATAACAACTAACTTCTCTATCTAAACACACACAGTTAAATTTGAGTTAATCTTGGGTCCAAACTGCAACATATTTTCCAAGTCCCCTCCAAACTTACACTGTTTTAAGAAAGTCTAAACAAACACAAAGATTTTTTTTTTAGTACTGTAAAAACCCTGTTGGTTTTTAGTCATTGTGAATGAGTGTATATGTAGATGTTTTTACATGCACAAACCCTATTTATGGCTCTGAAGATAGGATTATCAATATGGAAGACATTAAAATAAATATTCTAGTAGGTGAGTCAATTTAATACCAACAGGCCTACTACATACCTAATTACAAAGAGTTCAATAAGCATTTTCCTCCCTGCTGCTACTGCCTGACAAGAATAAATGAAGAGTCCCTCTAGGTGCTATACAGTAAACATCTTAAGACATATTTGTTCCTAAACCAGGCTTCACAGTAGTACTGATTGCTTGGGCACAAGCTGCAGACTGCCTTCCACGCGATGCAGCATGTAAAATGTATCTGTGAGGGAGCGCACAATTTTGAAATGTTTGTCATCCCAGGGAAATACAGGCTTTACGAAATGCACTGCAGTTGTATCATTGCTTCTGCATGTCATTCCGTTACAAGCAAGCAAAATCCTAAGCCATTCTCTTGTTCTGTTGTGTCACCTATTAGGGAATTCTGCAGACAATTATTCTCTGCTCATAAAGAATCCTCTTCGGTTAAAAAGAGAAGGATGGCCTTCCCCTCCTCTTCCCCCCATGAAATTACAGGTTTTCAATGACCCATCAAAAACAAAGCAAAGGTGATTTGCTTCTGAGTGAATTTTCCAAAGAAACAGGCAAATGCAATTCCAAGCCCCACATTTCAAAGTACATTTTATCTGTCTGACAGCAGCTGCACCTGTCACCCAGGGCATTTTATGTTATTCATGACTTTGTCAGCGTTTCCCCCCCATCAATTCATGGTTTTACACACTTTGCGTGCATTGTCAGGACTGTGTAGCCAACAGCTTTCTTTAATGATCGAACATGTATGCTATCACTAAACCAAAGGAAAGAGCAATTTTTAGTTTCTACAAATATGTGCAATTAAGATAGCATAGATGATAAGAGAGAATTAGCACAACAGGAACTAATTACAACATATGTACCCAGCTTTCACCTAGTGCTAAATTATTATAACTAAGCCATCATGAAACTGGGATTTATTTGTTGATCAGACTATTTGTCTTCTGATCTGTATTGGGATAGATGAACCTCTGTGTCACTGCTTATACATACCCTGCCTACTAATGGATAGACAGTTTTGTATAGAAGACAATTGTATTATAAGCATTTTCTTCCTATCCACTAGACAAGGAGAAGACTCCTGGTTTGCATCCTACTAGAATCGATTCTCTCCCTTTGAAAAGCATGCTTCCGCTCCTGCATCTCCTGTGTCCCCAAGCATCACACATTTCCAATACAAAAGGCTCCTTGCTTCCAGGTGCTCTCAGAACCCATCCCTCTCCCTGCTGGGAGGGATGGTCACAAACCAGATCTCCTGGGAGTTTTTCCTTTTGTATATTGCCATATAGCCACAGCGCTGCATTTCCAGGAGCTGTGCTCACAGCATGTGGCGGATGCGGGGCAGGTGGCAGGCAGAACCGTTGGAGAGAGGGAGAAAAGGGGTGGACAAATGAACAGAGACATGGGAAAGCAGCGAGGTGAATGAAAGGGGCGGAGGGCTAGGATGGGAACACAGAGGGAAAGAGAAATGAGGGGGGGGGGGGGAAGGACCAGGGCGAGAGGGACGAAGACAGCCGGGCGGCGAGCTGGGGGGGCCCTGTGCCCCTTACCTGCCACCGTGTACCTGTCCAGGTAGTTGAGCACGTTGCCCACGCTGAGGATGCCGGCGGCCGCGACCCGGGCCCTGCCCAGGCTGGGGGGCTTGTGGCGGGGGGCCAGGCGCTCGGGGCTCTTGCCCGCGGGCGGGGGGTTCATCCTGCCCGACAGGGTCTGCACCTCGCCCTCGGCGCTCCGGCCGCAGCAGCCCCGCTCGCCCTCCTCCTCCTCCTCCTCGTCGCCGGCTCGGAGCCGCCCGCTGCAGCCCGGGCTGCCGGCCGCGGAGCCGCCGCTCTCCAGGCACATCATGGGCTGCGGGCGGCAGGCGGGCAGGGAGGAGCCCGCTCGCTCCGCAGCGCGGCCGGGCAGAGACGCCAGCGGGGCAGGCTCAGCGCCGCATCCCGCAGCCGGCGCGGCAGCGGCAGCCTCCTGCCTGCGGGACCGGCCGCCGCCAGCCTCTGACAGCGGGGCGGCCCCGCAGCCCAGGCTCCGCCTCCGCCCCCGCCCGGCTCCCGCCCGCCGCAGCGCGCCCCGCACCCGGGAGCTCCGCGCCTCAGAGCGCCCCGCACCCGGGCTCCTTGGAGACGGGACCCGCGTCCGCAGCGCCCCGCCCGGCTCCCCCGAGAGGGGGCCCGGCTCCCCCGCGCACGCCAGGGGGCCTGCCCCTCACAAGCAACCTCCCGCGGGTAGGCACCCAGGGAACCCCTCCTCCTATAGTGCACTGGGGAGCCCCACTGCCTACCCCGGAGAGGGCCCCCACTGCCACCCAGCACTGGCCACGCAGTACCTCGCCCACTCTAGCCCCACCTGGAGCCCCATACTCCCCATCCCTTTTCACTGCCCCTCCCATACACAGCGGAGAATCCCCCTCCACCCACTACCCTACTTCCACCCAAGGCCCACCACGCTGCTCAGAAGGGGTCCTTCTCCCCCCAGCCGCATGCACCCCTGGGGCTGGCCTTTCATGTCAGTGAGCAGACCTCCCGCCAGAGGCACAGGGCTCCCTGCAGACACCGAGCTTGGGTGGCCATGCACACAGATGCACAGAGCTGCGTGGCACGGGTCTACAGGGTTAAAACTTTAACAGAGTGGAAGTCCCTGCCTATTCATAGGGGCTTAAGACCATTCTACGTTTAGAGAGGCCAACAGTTTCAAATCCTTGAAGGGGGTTCAGAGGCTATGACGGGAGGCATGTTGTGCATTATTACCTCCATGTTTACAGCTTGGAGACTAAGGCAGGGAGGGCCCCATTGACTCAGCCCCTGTACCTTCTGTCATAATTTTACACCCTTATACAGCAGGTGTGAAACACTACCAAATCACGGATAGCACGTTACAGCCTGTTGGCTAAAAGCACAGGTTCTTAGCGCAAGGCAATGGTGATCCTATGAGCATCACACAGATTCCTGAACCCAACTGATGCCCACTGACTGCAGAAAGGTTCATCTTGAGCACAGGAGGCTAGACACAGAGCTCTCATTGCTGAATTAGGGCCTAAGGTCACACACAAAGTCATGGCAGGGCTAGAAATGGAATGGCAGAGTCCTAACTCCCTGCTCTAGCCCCAGACAACACTCCCACCCCAAACAAGTTGGTTTTGGAACAATTCCGTCATAAGCATATGAAAACTGCTCAAATATTCCACCTGCTGAAAATCAACAACCCACATTTTACCCACATTCTCCCCGAAGAGTCACCTCTGCACTAAGAACAAGCAAGAGAAAATTCGGCTCAAAAAGTAAAGAGGTAGAAGTGTTCAGAATGAAAGTTCATGTACACATCACTCAGTGCTGAACACAAAGAGCTACCGGAATACAGGACAGTGGAGGATCTACCATGGAGCTGCCAAACAGCAGTGGGTTTCCAATCCAGAGCCTTCTTACCCACACTGAACCTGCTACAACATGAGGGAGAGAATCGTCATATTCAGGGGACACTTGAAATTAATGTATTTATAAATCATCAGCCATGCCCTAAGCAAACTGGGGCAGAGGGTGCTACTCTGGGAAGAGCACAGAAGTAGTGTTTGAATGAATATGTGCAGCTTTGTCACACCCATTCACTGAGAGTAGGAACTAGAGTAAGCAGCAGCTAAGCTGTGCTCACCCCAGGGTCGGGCTAAATCCATACTCTGATGAGACTCAAAGAATTTAAGGTCAGAAGGGACTATCATGAACATCTAGTCTGACCTCCTGCACAGTGCAGGCCACAGAACCTCACCCACCCACTCCTGCAATAGACACTCCAAAGGAAACCCCAGGATGCTGCAGAAGATGGACGGCACAACGGACAGCACTTTTCCATCTGAGTCAGTGTTTGAATCAGTTCCTCTTGGGTGACATGCTGAAGACACAAACAAACAGAGTATGAGTGGCCACTAGGGGATCTTTAAAAAGATGCCATGGGTGGTAAGGGTTAGCCCCAGTCTCCTACTCAAATTCCAATAGAGCTAATTATGTACCACTTAAATTGCTTTTGTAGGTTCAACTTGATGCCATATTTTTTCTTCATTTCCTGTTCCAAATAGTTGGGCTGTCTGGTATTAAATAGCTACCCATATTTTATCCAGTAAGCGCCTGCAATCTAACAATGGAGGAAGTGACTGAGCGTGTAATAGAGAATTTATTTGTAGTATAGTAGAGTTTATAGGCTGTAATTCAGATCAGGGCCCCACTGTGCTAGATACTGTACATACATGTAGCAGAGACAGTGCCTGCTCTGAAAAGCTTACACTGTAGTCTGTAGAGATACACAAAGCGTGTGAGGAGAAGCAGAGGACTAGAGAGAGGTGAAGTGACTTGCCTGATGAACCTCTATTTCTGGGTCTTACTCCAGAACCCTACCCACTACAAGCAGGCTCTCTCTCACTTGGGAAGAGCTTTAGGGTACATCTATGCTGTGATTAAAAACCCGCAGCACAGCCACAGCTGCTCAGGTCAGCTGACTTGGGCTCACAGGTCTCAGGCTGCAGGGCTATAAAATTGCAGTGTAGACATTCAGGCTCACATTGGAGCCTGAGCCTGAATGTCTACACTGCTATTTTATAGTCCTTGTGAGAGAAGCAATAAACCAAGGCTTCAATGTGTCCACACATTCCAGATCTGAAAACAGCAACCTGTTCTTCCCCCTCTCCTCTCCCTTTTGTCCAGATTTCTATCATTTGGAATCAGCCCATATTAAACTAAAACACTAACAAAGTCCAAAAGATAACATGACAAAAGGTCTCACAATATACTCAGTATCAAAATTAATGTTTCAATTAATCTCCTAATAAGTGAGACAGAAACCTGCACAAAGGATGCTATAATCTGTTTTCTCTGTGTCTATTCAGACAATATCTCCTTGCTAAAGTTCACAAACATACAGGAAAAATAAGTTCATACACATAAAAAAATCATTTTACTAACAAAATGTATAGATTTGTGTGTAGAGAATATAGTAATTGTTCACATATTAGTAAATCTAAAAATGTATAAAATTTAAGTGTGTCAATTGTGAAGATGTCATTATTAGTAAAAAATTAGCAGTCTTGTTGCATTGCTATTGTTTTCTAGTATCTAGGACAATATTTAATACAAGGTAGACTATTCTAACCCTATGGAGTTAGGATATTAATTGTATAAAGAATCTAGAAGTTATTTAAAATTAGAATCAAATTGGGAATAATTTCTTCTTGCATTTGGAAGTGGAACGGAATAAAACTCTCCTCAAATTGAAGTTAAAAGTAAGAAGAAAACATAATAAAGCTTCCAGAAGATAATCACCGAGTTAAAACAATATGAGAAAACTTTATCCTGGCATTAAATGATTCAAGAACAAGAAAAAGAAAATGAGCCAAAAGACTTTTTAAAAAATTCTGTTAGTGTTTATTTTAACTAACCATGCTAAAGAAAAAATTAAGGATTCTGAGGAAAGGCTGGAAACTCTTGGAAAGGAACTTTGTGTAAAGCTTGAATGCCTCCTGCTGGATGGGCAAGAAACTTGCCATGACACTTTGACCTGTCCAGTTAATGAATGACCACTTTTCCAAAAGGAAAGAGCCAATAAAAAATGACTAAATATGTCCTTTTGAGGTAGGCCAAGCCCCAATCAAATGGGGAGATAATACATTAAAAGAATTGCCAAGCCCAATTTGTCCAGCAAAACCTTTGTCCAGCAAAACCTACATTCAACAGATCAATGCTTGATCCAAAGGAGCTGGTCCATTCCACTAAATAAGTGTTTAATTTTCCCTAAGAGAGTGATTTTCTTTGACTAAGAGTCCTTTATGGAGCATTTTTGGGAAAGAGAGGTCTTTCTGAAGACTGAAGCCTAAGCCCCACCATGAAAAACAAACAAACTGCACACTGAACAGAAGGAAGAGTAAGAGATTCCACCTGCTTAAAGGTAGAGAATGATTTAGGAAATCAGTGCTTATTGCTATAATTCCACAGGGAATTTCTGTGCTTTAAAGAACATCAGAATTTAGCTGTGGAGTGCAGAATTATTGTTTTCTCAGAACACTGAGCCCATTAGAGTTCAAACCTATTCCATTAAACCAGACTCTTGGGCTTACAGGAACTCTGAACTTGAAAATACCAGTCACAAACTTAATTTCCATAGATACTATTAAAATATCCATTTCCAACTAAACAAAATTAAAAAAATTATACTAGAAATAGGAAAACGGAGTCTTGTAGTAGCTCTAAAGATTGGGGAAAAGTCTCCTAAAATATAACTGAACTAAGTTATATAATTTAAATCTAACAACATTTTCACCAAAACTGATTTGGTGCTAATTTAAATTGCATGTCTTCACCTGTAACTTCCAGAGTTATTGTTCACACCTAGTGTGTAGTGCTAATATTACTTCGCTTGAATTACTAAATTATCTGGTTTAGAAAACCTTAACATCTTTGGTTCAATACATACATAACTAAATCTCAGATGTACTTATTATGTTATATGTTTGTGGAAATTAATTATTTGATGGTTCATTTTGTTTTGTTGGCTTGTTTCAACTCAATTCCCCACTTTAAAAGTGCTATTAAGAACTAGCAGCTTTGTAAAATCAATGTTGTTCTTTGCCTTGTATTTTACACAGCACTTTGCAGTTATGCTGCCTTTGCATCTGTGAGTGTGAATTACTTGCCAATGAGAAACAGCCTTTGATCTCCCTCCCTTGTAACACTACTCTGTGTGTGAGACAGTAAGACAAGGGGGTAGCGGGGCAGGGAAGAACCCAGCTATTACCAAGCTACAGCTTCCACTGGAGGAGCCATACCTGCAGTTTTTGCTTAGGTTCTTTCACGCATTACAGAAGCGCCAAGAAGCCTCATCTAGGTCTGAACCAAGTTATGCTGTACAAAGTCCTCTATAATCACTGACAATCCCTCCCCCAAAAAGCTTAGACACTGAGGTGATACCAGATTCATTTTAT